ATGAGTTACTCATAATTCTTGCTTTCCCTCCTTCGAGCAGCGGTGGTGGGTGGCTTTGGGGACGCTGAATTTCTGGGACTTGCTTCTCTAACCCAGCTCTGGACCTTCTGCCCTGGGGACTTCGAGGCTGTGCCCAGTCCCGGAGCTGCTTTAGTGATCACCTGTCTCCGCGCTCCTCCTCCCAGCAGGCCCGGCTGAGCCGCTACCCTTAATCCTCAGTTTAATGAGCTCCTTGCAAAGAGTCCTCCAGAGCCCTTCCCCCTGACGCTGGGGCTGCATCATCACTCCTGCACTGCCGGGAAGTTCACACTCAGAGCTAATTTCAGTCTCTCTTGCTGACATGAAAGCCCTTGGGTGTTCTGCTTGCCTTCTTCCCACACGAGGCGATTGTTATTTTAGTTTCTCTCTTTGCAGGATAGATGAGCCCTCTGCTGTTTCTGGGGTGGGCAGGATACTGTAGGCATTCGTTTCTTTCCCTAGCTCTCCTGAAACTGGGCTTTCTCCAGCTTTCATTTAAGCACTGCTATGATTTTAGTGTTCCCCCAAAGAAGGGTTGGGGATATCCAAGCCCCAGAACTGAAAAAAAGAAGAAGAAGAAAAAAAAAAGAATCAGGGTGTGGTGGTGCACGCCTTTAATCCCAGCATTCAGGAGACAGAGGCAGGTGGATCTTTGAGTTCGAGGCTCTACAGATTGAGTTCTAGCACAGCCAGGGCTACACAGTGAAGCCCTGTCTTTAAAACCAAAGAACAACAACAACAACAACAAAAATAAAACAAAAACTCCATGTGTTAGTAGGGGCTGGAGAGATGGCTCAGCAGTTAAGAGCACTGACTGCTCTTCCAGAGGACCCATGTTTGAGTCCTAGCACCTACATAACAGCTCACAGCTAGTTGATTCCAGGGGATCCAACACCCTCTTCTGGCCTCCTTGGAACTAGGCATGTAAGTGTTACACACACACACATACACACACACATACATGCAGGCAAAACATCTATGTACATAAAATAAAATTTTTTGAGATTATAATATAATCACCATATTTCTCCCTTTCCTTTCCTCCCTCCAAACCTTCCCATACACTCCTCCTTGCTTTCTTTCAAATTCATGGCCTCTTTATCACATACATATATATGTTGTATGTTTATACATATATATCCCTAAATATAGCCTTCTCATCTGTATAGTGTTAGTTGTATGTATGTTTTTAGGGATGACCATATGGCATTGGATAACCAATTGGTGGTTATCCTGAGGAAGACTATTTGGAGAATAAATAAAACTTTTAAAAAAAGTCCAGTCATGTGGTGGTGGGCACACCTTTAGTCCCACCACTTGAGAGGCAGATGTAGGTGGATCTCTTTGAGTTCGAGGCCAACCTGGTCTACAAAATGAGTTCCAAGACAACTAGGACTGTTACACAGAGAAACCCTGTCTCAAAAAAAAAAAAGAAAAAAAAGTCTGGAGGGCAGTGGTGATACACACCTTTAATTCCAGTACCGGGGAGGGAGAGGCAGGAGTGAATTCAGGGGTAGCTGCCTGGTCTACATATCGAGTTCCAGGCCAACTAGGGATGTACAGTGAGATCTTGCCTCAAGCAGAACAAAGCAAAAAAAAAAACAAAAAACAAAAAAACAATAGCAAAGTAAAACAGTGGGAACATCCATCAAAAGGCACCTCACCTGCACTGACAGAGGGGGAGCTCTAGTGTGAAGTATTGGGGTGCATCCTGTCCCTGTGTGGCTGACAGTATACAGAGGCCCACGTTATCAACCCCCTGCAAGGCACAGAATTGGCTACTTCTATGGCAGGACCTGAGCAGCTGCAGACAGGCAAAGCAAGGAAACTGACTTCTCATTGTATTCCTTTAAAAATTTGAAATGTTTAAAGTTAATTAATTACTTTTTTATTTGTTTGGTTTTTTGGAGATAGCACTTCCCTGTGCAGCTCTGGCTGTTCTGGAACTCTGTAGACCAGGATGGCCTCGAACTCACAGAGATCTACCTACTTCTGTTTCCCAACTGCTGGAATTAAAGGTGCGTGTCATCACTGTCCAGCTCATCATTAATTATGTTTTGAGTTAAGGACTCACTGTGTAGCTATGCTTGCACTGGAACTTCTATGTAGCTGAGAGTGACCAAGAACTTTGAACTTTAACCCTCCTGCCTCCATGTCTCAGCTGCTAAGGCTCAGACATGTACTTTCCCTTTTCAGTGTTTGAATTTGTATCACAAACACATCGACACGATTTCTACTTAACCAGTATGAAAAAAAGTTCAAACCCCCAAATCTGCAGTTCTTGATATTTTATAGGTCAGCCAGATGATGATGGTGGTGCACACCTTTAATCCCAGCACTCGGAAGGCAGACAGATGGATCTCTGTGAGTTTAAGGCCATCATAGTCTACAGATCAAGTTCCAAGACAGCCTCCAAAGCTACACAGAAACCCTGTCTCCAAAAAAATTTTTAGATGTCACTATATTTGTCCCTAGTCACATACCAAGAGTTCTTGTTGAGAAAATCAGATTCCAGGAAAGGGAAGATGCCATGACACCATGGCTGGGACAGAGAATACAAAGGAGATTTAGTGTGAAAGGGCCCAGGAGGGGTCAGAGCAGGACAGCAACCTGGCCAGAACCCGCCCACCTAGCACAGTGCTAGGTGCTCTAGAGGGTGGAGAGTCCAGAGGGGCCCAGAGGAGCAAAGCTCGGGCTCACCTAGAGCCAGAGAGATGGCAACAAGAAAGTTGGGATGGGAGGCTGGAGAGACGGCTCGGTGGTTAAGAACTCTTGCTGCTCCTATAGAGGAGCTGGGTTTAGTTCCCAGCACCCACATGGTGGCTTACAAACATCTGCAACTCCAGTTCCTGGGAATCTGATACCCTCTTCTGATCTCCAGGGGCACCAGACACACATTTGCACATGCATGCATGAAGGTGAAACATTTATACATATAAAATTAATAATAATAACAATAGCTTTGAGTTTTCAAGGCAAAGTTTCTCTGGAACTCACTCTGTAGACAGGCTGGCCTTGAACTCACAGAATTTCACCTGCCTCTGCCTCTGGAGTGCTGAGATCAAAGGCGTGCGCCACCATGCCTGGAAAATAAATACATCTTGAAAAACAGGAAGAAAGAAAGAAGAAAGCTAAGTAGGGTTTTCAAGAGCCCAAGAGGGAATTTTAGCTAGAACTTGTTGGTGGGTGTTCCTGAGGAGAGGGGCGGGTTCGGGAAGAGCTTTCTGGAAGAAATGGAATCCGAGCTAGCCTCAGAGTGGGAGTCGGATATCCACAGGTGCAGAGGAAGGCAAAGATAACCTCACGCTGGGGAACAGTATGAGGCTATTGGGCAAAGGCCTGGACTATGAAGGGCAGGTACAGGATGTGTCCTCATGTTCTATGTTGCAATAGGCAATCAGAGATAAGGCAGCAAAATTAGGCCAGATCCTGTGGGCTGCCCTGAGATTACCCCACCCCATTCTGCTCACACTCCCTGTTGTTTAACCTGTGTTCTGGGCATTGTCTATAAAGCAGGACTCCTCAAACCTTCTTGGGTTCAGGGTTAATTTTCTTGAGTGCTTACAGAACACAGGGAGACACTATTTAGATTTACTGATTGATACTGTTTATCATGTATTTCTTTATTTTTGGTTTTTTGAGACAAAGTTTCTCTGTGTAGGCCTGGCTGTTCTGGAACTCACTCTGTAGACCAGGTTGACTTTGAATTCACAGAGACCTGCCTGCTTTCTGCCTCCTAAGTGCTGGGATTAAAGGCGTTTGCTGTCTGGCTTCCTTTTTCTTTTGAGACAAAATCTTGTTATACCGCCGTCCTCAGTCTTCCCGTCCCAACTTCTCCAATGCTGACATCCCCTGCTGTGGTCTTTTCTTGTATAAAAGGTATTATCAGAGCTGGGAGACAGTTCAGGACAGTGCAGTTATTACAAAACCATGAGGACCTGGGTTCAAATCCCCAATACTCATGTAAAAAGCCAGTGTGGCAGCTTGCACATCTGTAACCTCAGCTCAGTGGAATGTGCCAGAGGCAGAGACAAGAAGATCATTTGGGACTTGCTGGCCACCAGCCTTATCTCCAGGTTTGGGGAGGGCCCCTTCCCCAAGGGAATAGATAGAGTGATAGAACAAGCCTATGTCCTCTGGCGTTTGTGTATGCTCACAAGCATGTGCATACATACACACACATGTGCATACACCACACACGCATATACATATGTGTCTACACCACACACGCATATACATATGTGTCTACACCACACAGACACACAGACACACACAGGTGCATTCACCACATACATATGCATATACCATACACATTCATACACATGTGCATATATCACACACACATACACACACAGGTTCACCACACACATGTATATACCATACACACATGAACAAAAATTAAAAAGTAATAAATAGGGGTTGGAGAGATGGCTCAGTGGTTAAGAGCACTGACTGTTTTTCTAGAGGACCTGAGTTCAATTCCTGGCACCCACATGGCAGCTCACAACTGTCTACAGCTGTCTATAACTCCAGTTCCAGGGGATCTGACACCCTCACACAGACATGCATTCAGGCAAAATTCTTTTTTTTTAATGTTTATTATTATTGTATGCCTATGGATGTTTCGTCTCCCTGTATGTCCATGCGGTGCCCACTGAAGCCAGAGGAGGGCACTGGATGTCGCATCTCCTAGAACCGGAGTTATAGATGGTTGTGCGCTGCCATGTGGGTGCTGAGAATTGAACTCAGGTCCTCTGGAAGAGCAGCCAGTGCTCTTAGTCCCTGAGCCATCTCTCCAGTCCCCAGGCAAAATTCTAATGCACATCAAATAAATAAAATAATTTTTTAAAAAGTAAGAAATAAGCTGGGTGGTGGTGGAACACGCCTATAATCCCAGCACTTGGGAGGCAGAGGCTGGTGAATCTCTGTGAGTTTGAGACCAGCCTGGTCTACAGAGTGAGTTCCAGGACAGCCTCCAAAGCTGCACAGAGAAACCCTGTCTCGAAAAACAAACAAACAACAAACAAAAAAGGTAAAAAATAAAGGCTATTCCAAAGGTGGATGAATTATCGCATGTGCGAGGCACCAGGAAGCAGGAAGGGCGCAGAACTTCCATATACTCTTCTTGAATCACCCATTCTTCAGCAGCTGCCGCACGTCTAGCTATCCCGAAGCTTCCCAAATCCTGTCCTTCTGGGTTTTCATGGAGATGTCATGGCATAACCATGATTGCATGAAGGAAGCCAGCAGCAGGCTTGACATTCAGATCCTTCAGCATTCCTCCCTGCTGTGGGCCAGGAATCTTCCAGAATGAGGATGTCTTATGACCTGCTACTGGGCAAATGTAGGACAGAAAACAACTCTGTGTCTAATTGAAGGTGAAGAAGGTTAGAGTTGCTAGAAGCTACCATGGGGAAGGAAACCCTAGCTTGTATGGCCTGCCTTCAGGATGGAGGAATGAGGCAGAAACAAAGGCAAAACCAAGGACAAAACACACACACACACACACACACACACACACACACACACACACACACACAGAGAGAGAGAGAGAGAGAGAGAGAGAGAGAGAGAGAGAGAGAGAGAGAGAGTCACAAACAGTGCGTTTTCAAACACTTTGTGAAAGACAGGCTTGCTTTTTAAATTACCAAATGGTTGCATCATGCTTTTGGAAAATACAGCAAAAACAGCCACGTGCTTCAATATCAAATGGCTGCCCTGACTTTTCAAGGTTAGTCTCTGTTTCTGTCTACTTGTCAAACAGCAGCTATGCCAGTCCTGACCCACTGAGTGGCTGCAGAGGTCAGAAGGGCCTAGGCGTTTATTAGAGATGAGCACTCATGCCCTTTTGACTGAGAGGGTGAGAAACTGCCAGTACCTCAGGAGGCTGAGGGTCTCCAGATCCCTTCTGTAGACAGTAGGCGTGGAAGCCACCATGAGTGGAACGTGGGCATACGTGTGTGGATTATTCTGGAAGGCCTTATACTGCCAGGCCCCTAGCTGCCAGCACAGCACCTGGGAAAGGGACAGAGACTATGAGCAATGTGAAATTCCAGAGAACAGAGGTCTCAGCCTAGTGGTGATTAAAATAATCAGAAGTGGTTCGTTTGTTTTTCTGAGACAGGGTTTCTCTGTGTACCCTGACTGTCCTGGAACCAGTAGACCAGGCTGGCCTCGAACTCAGGGATCCACCAGCCTCTGACTCTGGATTTGCTGAGATTAAAGGCGCCACCGCCGGGTGGTGGTGGTGCACGCCTTTAATCCCAGCACTCAGGAGGCAGAGGCAGGCGGATCTCTGTGAGTTTGAGGCCGGGCTGGACCGACAGCCTCCAAAACAATACAGAGAAACCCTGTCTCGTAAAACCAAAAAAAAAAAAAAAAAAGGTGTGTGCCACCACTGCCTGACTGTTGGGTTTGCTTTTTCTTTTGCAGTGCTGGGAAAAGTACCCAGGTTCTTCCATGTGCTGGGCAAGCACTCAGTCTACAACACTCAGCCCTTTAAATTTTTTTTTTTTTTTGAAGAGGTAGGCATCATGGTGCACAGCTGTAATCCCAGCACTTGGGAGGAGAAGACAGGAAGGTCAAAACTTCAAGGCCACCCTCAGCTACATAGTGAATTTAAGGCTAGTTGGGGCTACATGAGACTGTCTCAACACTGCAAAGCAATTTTTTAAAAATTTATTTATTTGTGTGTGAGGTAGGTGTGTGAATGTGATGTGGTGTCTCTGTGTGTGTGGAAAGCAGGGGAAACTGCAGGAATTGGTTTTCTATTTCTACCTTGTCAGTTCTGGGTATTAAACTCAGGTCATCAGGGTTGGTGGTAAATGCCTTTACCCCCTGAGCCCCCAAAATTTTATTTTAAAACAGGGTCTTGGGCTGAAGAGATGGCTTAGTGGTAAAACTCATTCCCTGCTTTTGCAGAGGACCTGAGTTCAATTCCCAGCACCTACATGGTGGCTCACAACGGTCTGTAACTCCATTTCCAGGGGATCTAATACCCTCTGATGGCCTCTACCCAGATCAGACAAAACATACATGCAGACAAAACAGTCAGGTGTTGGTGACACATGTCTTTAGTCCCAGCACTTGGGAGGCAGAAGCATGTAGATCTCTGAATTTGAGGCTATCCTGATCTACAGAGCAAGTTCCAGGATAGCAAGGGCTACACAGGGAAACTCTGCTTCAAACAAACAAACAAACAAACAAACAAACAAACAAACAAACAAGTGAAGACAGTCTTGCTAAGTTGCCCTGGCTGACCACCAGCTCATAGCCCTGTTGCCTTAGCCTTTCAAGTGTCTGGGATTCCAAGTGTGTGTGCCACCAGGTCAGGCCAGAGAGCTTTTTAAAAAATTAAATTAAGCTGGGCATTGGTGGCGCACGCCTTTAATTCCAGCACTCGGGAGGCAGAGGCAGGCGGATCTCTGTGAGTTCGAGGCCAGCCTGGTCTACAGAGCGAGGTCCAGGACAGCCTCCAAAACAATACAGAGGAACCCTGTCTCGAAAAAACAAACAAAAAAATTAAATTAAGCTGGGTGGTAGTGGCACATGCCTTTAGTTCCAGCACTTGGGAGGCAGAGGCAGGCAGATCTCTGTGACTTTGAGGCCAGCCTGGTCTACAGAGTGAGTTCCAGGAAAGGCTCCAAAGCTACACAGAGAAACCCTGTCTCAAAAAACAAAACAAAACAAAACAAAAAAACCCCCAAAAACCAAAATCAAATTACATTAAAAACTTTTACAATGATTTTAGAGTTATTTTAATATTTTTACTTTATATGTGTGCATGTGGGCTTGAGTGTGTTTGTGCACCGTGTGCATGAAGGTGCCTGTGGAGACCAGAAGAGGACATCAGATCCCAAGGTACTGGAGTTCCAGGTGATTTCAAGAGACCATGCGGGATCTGGGAGTCCAACCCGGCTCCCTGCAGGAACAGCAAATGCTCTTAACATCTTAGCCGTCTCTCCAGCCCCCTTTTACTTACTGTATGTTTGTGAGTGTGTGTGTGTGTGTATGTGTGTGTGTATGCGCACCATAGCGCATGTTTGAGAAGCAGAGGACAACTTGTGGGAATCAGTTCTCTCCTACCAGGCGGGTCCTGGGGCTCAAACGCAGGTGGTCAGGTTTGGTGACAAGCCCCCTGACCTACTGAGTGGCCTCAAAGGCTGCCTTTGGAGCAAAATGACAAGGTTGAGGTGGGCCTGATGGCGGTGAAGATGGCATCAGGATAGCGGAACTGCAAGGCTGGGTTTCCCAGTGCAGATTGGTGCCTGTCACCTGCTCTGGAAGACCGCAGGTCCTGGAAGGGAGGCTTCCACTCCTGGGTAAAGGAGGAGACTTTGGGAGAGGCTGCATCACCACACAAAGCAGCATCCTGGGAGTTTTGAACCATCATCTGAGACTTCAGAGCAGGTGTTTGGTGCCCCTGGGCACTGGGGGAGGTTGTGACATGTGTGCACGAGCATTTGTTCCCAAAGCAGGTGAGAGAACTGTTGAAAGATGTGGACTCTGACTCCTGACCAATTCCTAGTTCCTTTTTTTTTTTAATTAAAAATTTTTTTGAGAGAGGTCTCATGTAGCCTTGAATTCACTATGTAGCCAAGGTGACCTTGAATTCCTGATATTCTTGCTTCTACCTCCTAAGGGCTGGGATGACAAGCATTTTCTACCACAGCCGACTATCCTTTCATTTTTTGAGGTGAAATTCACATAACAAAAAACCAGCCATGCTGAAGAGAACAACTGCCAGGGTCAGGGAGATAAAATAAAATAGAAAGGGCTGCAAAGGGCTTCCTGCTTTCAGGATCTGGACAAACCGTGCCTCCTTCCATCTTGTCCCTGGACACTTCTTTCACTCCAGAAGGAAGGCAGACCCTTGGGCCACTGCCCCACTTCTGCCTTCCGGTAGACAGACTTACAGGTGTCCCGCTGTGGACTGCCGTGTGTGGTGCCTGGCTTCTTCCCCGTAGCATGTTCCAGACTCAGCCAACTTCATTCCTTTTTAGGGTGGAACAGAGGTTCCGCTCCGTAGACATAGAACAACTTGTTTATCCACCTACCCACCTGAAGACAGGAGGACTCCAGGCTCTTGGATCAAGCAATCATTTGATGCAGAGGGAACTGTCACATCTTCATTCCCACCAGCAAGGGCCAAGAGGCTCATCTACCTTCATTATTAAACAAGAGATGACTATGACCTTGGAAGTCAAAGAGAGGGACACCAGGTGCTAGTATGACATCGGCCCCATTCCCTCACCCCACCATGTTGACCTTTAGGCCCCAGAAGATGCTGACTAGACTGAAGAAGAGTGTCTTTTCCTCACTCATTAAGTCATAAGGACCAGATGGTTAGATCTAGAACTCCAAGCCAAGCTAGTTGTAAACCTGCAGGAGCAGAGTTTGTGACCCACTTGGGCCCCTATCAGTTCAAAGTATGTCTTCTTCCTTCCTTCCTTTCTTCCTTCCTTCCTTCCTTCCTTCCTCTCTCTCTCTCTTTTGTTGTTTTTTGAGACAGGGTTTCTCTCTATAACAGTTCTTACTGTCCTAGAACTCTCTCTGTAGACCAGGCTGGTCTTGAACTCACAGAGATCCACCTGCCTCTGCTTCCCAAGTGCTGGGATTAAAAGTGCATGTGCTACCCACCACCACCTAGCTCTTTTTTTTTTTTTTAATTATTGGCAATGTGTTATTGTGTATTCTAGGCTGCCCTCAAACTAATTGCTTAGCTCAGGCTGACCTTAAACTCTTGGCTCATCATCCTCAGCCTCCTGAATAGGTGATATTACAAATTTACACTACCTCATGTCCAGCTCAAGGCAACTGAGGCACAGAGTGAGGGCAGAGAGCTGCATGTGTTTATGGACTGCAGCCATAAGACATGCCCCGTCCTCAGTGCTATCTAGGCCCCAGAGCCCCCTGAGAGGGTGAAGTGCTGGGAAGAGAGAACACCATCATCAGGCAGCATGGACCTGGTACACAGCGGGCTTTCAGGAGACCCGTGCCTGTCTCAGTGTGGAGGGTTAGAGGAGTTCAGGAAAGGGCAAGGAAGCTCAAGACAGCAGGAAACTTCCGTGGTGGTGTGGGGAAACCAGCAGGGATTCATGAGAGCTGGGAAGGCCTCTCAGACACTCCTCATGTGGGCCAGGCCCTGCCAGGACCTGCCTCTTTGGGCAAAGCTGGGAGAGCCAGGAGGCAGTCACCACCCAACCAGCCCTGCAAGTGTGCACTTGGGCCTGCAGCAGCCCCTCTTCTTGGGAACTTGCTAGAATGCACATCTCCTCAAAATTATTGGCTCTGAGGCTTGGGGGACAACGCCTTTCTTCCAACAAGCCCACCAAAGAGCTTTGCTTTTTTGTTAATGAGTGAGAAGCAGCCTCTCCCACAAGGCAATGGGGCAGGGAAGCTAGAGCCTGGGCCTCTGAGGATGCTGCCTACTCCACTGTGGGGGCTGGGAGGTTGAGTGATGGCTGAGGGTCTGTGAAGGGGGCGGGCCTCAGGGAACCCCTTCCACTTTTTCTCTCCGTTCTTCGCAAAGCAGTTTGATGTGCTAATGAAGGCATCAATTATTGAGCACCATTTGCATTCGTTACAATAACAAGCGAGGGGAGGGGGGCCTGGGGGAGTCAGGAGAGTCTTCTGAAATTTGCAGCCACTTACTGCTCTCCTGTGGAGTGGGAGTGAGGATGAAGACGGAGGAATGTGAGGAGGGTGGCATCAGCGTTTTAGGGTCCCAGACGCCATCCCGGGTGCGAGGCCGTGCCCCCTCCTCCTCAGCTGCTCTGCCTTGCCTTCCATCTCAAGGCATGGTCACTGCTTCGGGCTTTCTGGATGCCTCTGTGGGGCTCATGAAATGCTCTGGCCAGACCAACAGAGGGAGGGGCGGGCATTGTTAGGGAACCTCAAGCAGACGCTTCAAGGTGCAGATAGGATAGTTCAGGAGGTCAGCCTTGATTCCCTCATCACGCGCTTTACTGAGCTAATCCTTGGCGCTCCTGTGCTCCTTTTCGCCCAGATGTTTGTCCAGGTGTCAAATCTGCTGCTACAGTGTTTCAGCGAGGAGGAGGAAAGGGTGAGAATTCCCCACTCTAGGCTGCTCCTCAACTCTCCTTTCTGCGGCCCTCAGAGTGGGCCAGGGCCCTGGAGTATTTGGGAAGGACAGGAGGAGTGGTTGGGATCTGATTTCCCCACCCTCAAACATTCCAGCTGCCGGCTAAGAAGGAGCACTACCGGAGCCACAGGGGAGGGGGACCAGAGGGAAGAGAAGTTGAGGAATGAGAGGAGGCGGGGCAGCACCTGAGGCATCTCAGGTGGAGGCAGCTGGCACAAGGGTTGTGCCGGGCACCATGCCAGCATATAGAAGCCGTTCTGCTTGCTTCTGCTGGATAAGGAACACCCAGGCTGTGCAGGCCCTCATCAGCCGCCTCCTAGCAGCAGAAGCTCTCCTACAGAGGCCTCAAGAGATGTATCGTCCCTGAAGGGTGAGGGTCATGTTATTTGGGACCATGGGACATTTGTTTCTGTTTAGATTCTCTGTTTATTATCACAGGTTCATGGGGCCCCGGGGCTAGCTGTCCAAGTGTATGTGTATGAGTATACAGGGTCTTTGGAGAGAAGAGGGCATGTGTGTCAAATGCGTTCTCAGCTCTGAGATGATCAGAAATGTGAAGGATTTACCATTAAAATGTGACCTAGTGATAAAGCATGTGTCCAGAATGTGTGGGCTCAGCCGGGTGGCACATGCCTTTAATCTCAGCATTCAGGAGGCAGAGAGAGGCGGATGTATGTGAGCTCAAGGCTAGCCTGGTCTACAGACTGCGTTCCAGGATGACAGGCTCCCAAAAAAGAAGAAGAAGAAGAAGAAGAAGAAGAAGAAGAAGAAGAAGAAGAAGAAGAAGAAGAAGAAGAAGAAGAAGAAGGAAGAGAGAGAGAGAGAGAGAGAGAGACACGGGCGTTGGTGGCACACACCTTTAATCCCAGCACTTGGGAGGCAGAGGCAGGCGGATCTCTGTGAGTTTGAGGCCAGCCTGGTCTACAGAGCGAGTTCCAGGACAGCCTCCAAGACAATACAGAGAAACCCTGTCTCAAAAAAAAAAAAACCAGAGAGAGAGAGAGAGAGAGAGAGAGAGAGAGAGAGAGAGAGAGAGAGAGAGAACCAGAATGTGTGGGCTCTGGGTTCAATCCCAGCATGGAAAAAAAAAGTTAAGACAACAACAAAAGTGATCTACACAAGCCACGCCTGGTGATCCCAGCACTAGGGAAACTGAGGCAGGAAGACTGTAGATTGAAGGTCAGCCTGAACCATATAGCAAGATTGTTTAAAAAAATATAAGACAACAAAAACAAAACAGAGTCACAAAATGAAAAACTACTTGAACCTGATGATTTTGTCTTGCCATGGAGGGCTTCCTCCAGAGCTGTCTTTGGAGCTGTCTACGATTCCTAGGTGCCGATTCTACCACTTTTTCCCACGCAGTCTCGATCAGTGGCTTGTTGGCGAGTCCAGGAGTCAAGTGTTAAGTGAAGGAAAGAGGGCATAGTCAGAGAAACTCTGTCTCGAAAAAACCAACCAACAAGCAAAAAGAATAGGAGAAATATCTTTCCAATTGTCACCTCTGAGAGAATGCCCAGGTCCTCGGGGACTGAAAGAACCCCTGTCCTAACTCCCTGCATCATCTGCTGTCTGCTGTCTGGGTGTGAGTCATGGGGTGCCAGGGCTGGTCTCTGCTCTGGTGGCCACAGGTAAGATGAGTATAGTGGACATAGAAAAGAGGCTATTGGTCCTAGAGTCAGGCCAACCTGGGTCTCAATTTTACCTTGGAGGCTCTTGGATCGGGCTGTTGTCTTACTTCCTTGATTTCTTTCTATTTCGTTTTGTTTCTTGGGCAAGGTTTCATCATGCATCCCTGGCTAGCCTAGGACTCACTTAGGAAGACTGGACTGGCCTAAAATTTGTGTTGATCCTCCTGCCTTTACCTCCCAAATCTAGGATGACAAATGTGTGCCTTTATTTCTGAAACGTGGCTAATACGGCAGGATTAAATTAGAGACTATGGGTACAGTACCGGCTGATGCCCTTCCCCCTGGACACAGAATAGGGACAGGAAAACATTTTGTCCCTGGTGGGGAGGAGTTCTGGTTTGGGAAGACCCCAAAGGCAGGAGTCTTACTGAGCAACGTGATGGTCTGAAGAGAGGAGAGGTGTGTGCCAGGCTGAAGGTTTAATAGCTGTAGCCCCTCCCATGCACAGGGCCGCTGCCTCCTGGTGCCCATCTTGGGAAGGCAGCCAGGCAGGGAGCTGGAAGGGTGCCCAGTGAGTGCCCAGAGGCCAAAAGATGGGCACCATCCAGTTGGCAGAGGGAAACGCAGCTGGCCCAGGAGGGAATTCATGGTCTTAACTGCTGGGGTTGTGTGCCCAGACCGTGTGTCCAGGACACAGCTCTTGGCTGTCCTCCTGAGATGGCCAGCTGGAGCTGAGTCCCCGCCCACTGCCTTACCCTGTCACCTGAGTTAGTGGAACTGGAATCGATCTGTAAGGGGCCTTTGGGACCCTGTCCTTAGCTGGGCATGTGGCTGGCTCAGAGGCAGGCCTGGGGGCGGGCAGAAAAGCAAGGGAGCCCAGATTAAGGCTGGGACCGGGTAGATCAAGAAGTGGGGAAACCGGTTTGTCATCTGGGCCACTTGGGGTGGGGTCTCCTCTCCCGGGCTCTGTCGGCCAGCCATTCTGCCGGGTGGACTGCAGGGAAGAGATGTGGGCACTGGGTGGCCTTTTTGTGACCATCCGAACTGCCTTTGGGAATGCCAGGGGTAAATACAACGCACAGAGGGCTCGGCCCACCTGCCACTCTCGAAGAGAGGATTCCGAGAGGAGGAACTGACCCCAAAACCCGAGGGAAGGAAGGAGGGAGAAGCCTGAGCACCGAAGGTCAACGTGAGTCTGGGTCCAAGCTGGACATGGAAAAGTCTGCAGAATCACCAGGTAGGCCTATTAAGGTGAACTAGGGTGGGGCGCGCCGAGATAGAGCTTTGCAGGTTGCCGTGGAGGTGACAAAGGTGTCACCCGAAGAGGCGCGAGAAGACTATCTGGAGCGTCCTACTTTGGGGTCCACTTCAGAGGTGATCAGTGCCTCTTACTGGCTTGCAGTACCTGCTCGCGCCTGAGGTAGGGACGGGAAACCGAAGTAGGGGTTAGGAGGCTTCCAGCAGGGGGCATCAGAGAGCTGGGTCCCTGGCCGAGTGGAGTCTCGGGAAGGGGGAGGGGTAGAGGTGAGGGGGCGCGACCCAGGAATGGCACACTGGTATCTCGACTCTCCAGGTGTTGAGCGACTGTGGCGTTCAGAGGTCACCTTGGCTGAAGAGTGGTCCCCTTCTCTCGTCCTCTCCCCATCCTCTTGTCCTGCTCCGCCGCGCCCGGAGTGCTTTTCTGTCCCAAGGCGTGCTTGGAGACCCAAGGAGTCACCTCCCCAGGTGCCTCCTTCGAGGCCACTCCGGGGTCAATGCATTTGTTTCTACAGCGGCTGGAGGACCGCTTAGGGTACGGGAAGCAGGTGGAGTGGGGGGCGGAGCGTGAGCGCGCCCTGCACCCCAGTCCGGGCCGTGTGCTGCGGGATGCCGGCGTGCTGCTGGAGGGCGCGAGAAAGCGCAGTGCCCCTTCCCCTTCCCCGCTCCCCGCCACCCCCGGCGGCCCTTTGTACCATCCGGCCACACGCGCGTGCCCGCGTCGCGCGCGCTCCCGCCCGCAGTGACACACCCGCGCCGGCCGCACGCGCGCATTCGCGCGCACACACACACACACACAGACACACACACTCTCTCGCTCTCGCACACTCGGTGACACGCCCGCGCGCGCGCGCACCCACACGCCCGGCCGCCGGCGCCCTCCCAAGCTGGTCCACCCCGGCGGGGCCCGCGCCCCCGGCCCGCCCGCCTGGCACCGCGCCCCGGGGCTGGGGCCGAGCGAGGAGCCCGAGAGGCGGCGAGAGGGCGAGCGCCAGGCAGGCCGGCCCGGGGCCCCCGGCCCCCGCGCCCCCGCCCGATGGGGAACGCTCCGTCCCAAGGCATGTCCCTGTCTCTCTCCTCCCTAATGTGCCTCCATGCTTAAGTGGAAGGTATTTCTGTTTTCTTTGTGTGTTTTCCCCTCGGCCGGGGGCGGGGGCGGCGGCCGGGCCCGGGAGGCGGCGGCCGGCCGGGCTAGGGATGCTCCGGGCGCAGGTGTCGTGGGGGGCAGGGGACAGCTGTGCGCCGGGTTGGGGAGGACCAGGGCGGAGAGCGCTGGGAGTCTAGAGGGTCTAGAGCTTGCGAAGCTGGAGACTGGGCGAGGAGGGCCTCTTGGTGCCCGGGGGGGAGGGGACCTGGGGTTACAATGTAGGGGGAGGGGTGGGTGAAGGGGGGTGGCGAGGAGAATGGGGGAGGAGGGGAGAGGTCCATGCGAAGTGAGGCCAGGGATGTTGAGGTGGGGAGGGAACGGGATGAAGGGAAGAGCATCATCCCCGCCTCAGTTCAGAATGGGGTGCAGGCAGGCGCTGGGCTGGCAGTGCTGGACCCTTCGCGCCAGTCCCTCAGGGAAGCAAGGGACTGAGAGCGCTCTGGGTTTGGCTGTGTTGCCAGGATACAAGGCTGTATTCTACACCCCACCCCCCTGCACCTCGAGGCCCTAGCCCTAGAGACCTCCTAGCCTCCGCAGCAGTTGCAGAAACTGGGGACCTGCTCCCCGCTCGCCGGGCGAGTAGGGAGGGCCCTGTAGAGGGAGGGATTGAGGGAGGGGCTTCTGGATCTTAAACCCTCCCCCTGCAGAGGCAAGGGGCAAAGGAGGGCGCCCCCAGCTGGGGAGGGCGTCCGGGGTGATGAGGAGGTGGGGACGGCAGGGGGTTGGAAAAGTAGAGGGGCGGGGTTGGGGAGGGGACTCGTCGTGGCCCCCCCTCCTCTCCCACGCACCCCCCTGCTACGTCAGAAGCTCCTGGGCCAGCTCCGAGTCCTGTCGGAGGGGGCAGCAGGATGCTGGTGGCAGTAGAGGGGGCCGACCGGGTGCCTCCGCAGCTCAGCTGGCAGGGCCCGGTGGGGCGTGTGTGGCTGCTGGTGCGCGCCCCCCGGCCCCACGCCTCCCCATGCAGCCCTGGCAGTGCCTCCGGCGCTTTGCCCTAGCCTGGTGGGAGAGGACCGCGGAGGGTCGCGCCCGCTCTCCCAGGGAGGAGGTTGGACCGAGGGACCCTGGGGGCCGAGGGGAACCAGGTGAGCCGTGCGAGCAAGGAGGGCTGGACTGCTTTTTCCAGCCCCTCTCAGATACTGCCGGATCTGGGCCTCTTGTAGGCCCCAGCTTTGAGGGAAGTGGGGCCCCTGGTAGGGGCTTTTGGGCTGCAGTCCCTCAGAAGGCGTTTGGGATAAAGGTGGCAAGTGGAGAAACTAAGCAGATGTCAGATCTAGGGATCCAACTGTTCCTTTGGGTGGGGTTTGTGGCCCTTGTGATGGGGTATTAAGATACCTTCCTCTGCTCTGGTCATCTTGGTCTGGGTGACCTTGAGCCAACTGCTTAGCTGTCTAACTCTGTGCCTCAGTTTCTCCCCTTCCCTTCCCCGTCCCGGTGGTGGGTCTTAAAAACCGATGATGTATCTGATGGAGATTGTTACTGTAGGGACGTGAGGCTGTCTCTGGAGGCAGCTGGGATGGTGTTGGTTTCTAGCATGGCTGGTGTGTATTTCTAAGTGGAGGGAGGTTGTGGTTTATGGGCATGGGGGTCTGGTTGATTCTGACCTGTGTGTGGGTCACTCTGGGTAAGTGTCCAGGGTGGTACTCAGCCAGGAGTGTATTTGACAGGCTGAGAGTTGGAGTAGACACTCAGCCTGGTATAGAAGCAAGGGAGGGTGAGGGCTTTGGATATAGGGGAAGGAGGCCCCCCCCCAGGCTGCCTAGTACCCAGGCACCATTGACTGCAAGTGCAAAGGCTTTGCCCTGGCTCCCTGCCACTCTGCCTAGGGGACAAGAGGGTCTTTGTCCAGTGCTACCCCCAGTCCTGTATCCTTCCTTCCTTTCCTAGAGGGCTAGCTCTCAGCATGGTCCTAGCTCCTTGGGTCTCCCTTCTGGCTCCTACTCTGCAGATCTACCTAGAAGAAACAAATGTAGGCTCAGGCTGGGAGCTGGGAGAGGAGCCTCACTAAGGGCAGGGTCCCTAGAACAAACCCTCAGACACAGGCTCCCACCTCAGGCTTTTCCCCTGCCCTCTGCTCATCTTCCACTAGCACAGGAGGCCTGGGGGGCTCCCTGGCCTTACGTATATAGCCTCTTAAAGGTGAGTAGTGACCCACCAGGATGCATGTCCCCTCTGAGAGTGCCCCCCTTCCCCGTCCAGGGACCAACCCAAGTAAAGGGTTTAATTAGAACCATTGATTCCTTTTTGGCTGCGGGCATCGATCTGGATGGTGTGGTCAGAGCAGGGGATGGGGGAAGGGGTGGCACAGGCTCTGTCTGTCGAGTGCTAACCTTGGCATTCTTTGCCAAAACCCCAGCCCTGGAAGTGCTGAGCAGGGATAGGGCTGGGCTCTTTGGAGCTCCCCACCTCCACCCCAGATAGGTGTTAGAGAAGAGCAACCCAGCTGAGGGCTGACACTGCTGGGCTCTGTGTTCAGGCGAGGGGCGGGGTGGCTGGCGTGAATTTGACCTCTTTCAGTGAGCTGGGGCACCGACAGAAGAGTGAAGCAGGTGTGGTTGAGAAGGTCTGTGCTGTCACTGGCCACCTGGGGAAACAGTGGCCTGCAAGTGCCCAGGCAGGTCAGGGTCCAGGGGAAAGCCTAGGCTGGCCACCGAAACCTCTTTCGAGGAACTCCAAGCACTTATCTCTAAGCTCTGGCAAGGAGATTCATTTTCCTCCTTCATTTATGTTGCTCAGGCCCAGATAGGGCCAGGGACTGCCTAGATGCCCAGCTGGGCCAGGTCTGGCCCGGCTCCCTGACCTCATGGCCCCGGCCTGGACCTGAGGTGCTGAGGTTGAGGCTTCTGGCATCCTTGGCTCAGGTCCCTGGAGCTGGGGGCGCTGGGGATAAGTTGTGCCCTAGCCCGAGCCTGCTGTGGGTGGGCCAGAGCAGGTGCAGCTTCAATGAGGCACTCAGGGGCTCTTTGAAGACTCGGTAGCTGGCTTCCCAGGGCTTATTTGAGCAGAGATAATAAAAATCTGGCCGTCAGCGGGTTTGAGGGCTGCACTCGCTTCCCCTTCTTTCATTCCCAGCTCTGAAAAGAGGAGATGAAGGCTTTGGATTTGGCTGGGAAGCAGCTCCTGCCCTGAGGGAGAGAGGCAGGAGGGGGAAGGGAGGGTGGACTTCGTGGCAGCCAGTGATGGGGCAGAGGCATGGTCCCCGACCCCTGCTGACATTGTGGCACCTCCGTGGCAGGATTCCATACCCAGTACCTGGGCTCTACTGTGGTCCTGCAGGCCCCTGGGACCCCACAACATCCCTCTCTGCCCCTCTGTTCCCAAAGTCCCCTCTTGTCACCTCGGCCCCCACTCTGCTCCTCTCTGCCAGCCTCCCACTTTACTCCCACCTCCGTCTCCCTGCCCCCCTCCAGCTGCCAGTGTCCCTTCTCCTTCAGAGGTCCCCTTGGACTCTCTGGTGGCCCCTCCCCTCTGTCTGTCTGCTTTTCCCTAGCACTGATCCTGCTTTCTAGGACTGAGTGGAAGGTTGCTGCCGAGGGGTGCAGTCGCTGAACAGCCATAGCCGCAGCCTCCCTCAGCAGGGATGGGCCAGCTATTATGGGCTGTCAGGTGCCATCACTGTCAGAGTGCTGGCTGGAGGGGCTGCTGTGCATCTAAGAGCACGCTCAAGCCTGCTGGGGGGAGGGGGCGCTCGTGTGTGTGTGTGTGTGTGTGTGTGTGTGTGTGTGTGTGTGTGTGTGTGTGTTGGCTCCTCCCACTCCGCCTCAGGCACCTCACCTTGACATTGGGCTCTTCATACCCCTGCCTCACACACTTCAGTTATCTTCTGGCATTCACCTCCACAACAGACTTTTTTTTCCCCCAGCCCTTCTGGTCCCTGGTCCCTAATGGTACTTCTGTCACACAGCTGTCTCTTAACCCAAGCCCATCAGACTCCCTTCAGACTCCAGGGAGAAAAGTGGGATCCAGGAAGCTGCTGGGCACTATGCCAAGCGCTGACCACTTTCCCTGGTTAACCCCCGATGACCGATGACTATGAGAACGATACTAAGCCTGGAGCCCTGCACTAATCCTGTCTCAGGTCCAGATGTCTGTGTGACCTTGAGCAAGTCCCCTCCCTAGTCTCCTTTCTCACCTGAAATGAGGGGGCTGGCCTGGATGATCTCCAAGGTCTCTTCTGACATTCCTGCGATGTTGTGTCTCTCTTCTGGGTGATTTGCATATGCTTTGCATATATTAATAGTGCCTGCTTGCAGGGGGAAGGACACCACCCACATGGGGCACAGAGTCCCGCCTATCTTTCCAGCTCCCCTCACCCATTGGCTCAACTCCCAAGGCTCCGGCTTCTTAAGGGGTGGGAGCTAAGCATCAGGGAAGGTCGGTCCTCTGTTGTTAGGGGATCCTGTAGGAGTGGACAGTAGGGTGTTAGCTCATGTAGCCTGCAACATGCTAGGTGCTTGGTTTGGCGCATCAGGCCCCTCTGGCTTCAGATCAGGCCGCGTTGCACTTCCAGGCCAGTTGTGTCCTTTCCCTCTTACTCCAGACCAGGCTGCTGAACTCTGGGAATGGGAGCTCATAGTTAAGCCTCAGACATGGAGGCCAGGAGAGAAAGGGTTATTTCCTGCCTAGCCTTAGACTGAGAGAGAGAGAAAGAGAGAGGGGGGAGGGAGGAGAGACAGACAGACAGACAGAGAGATAGAGAGAGACAGAGAGAGAGGAGACCCCCCCCACATACACACACACGCACACGCACACACACAGAACCCCAGAGGTCCTGGTCCACTCATCCTGACCTTACAGTGTTTCTACTGGCCCTGCCTCCTTGCCACCCACACGTACTCCATGCCTTACACAGGGCAGAGACCTGGACCACAACCCTTAGTCCTTCGGTGGCTCCTTTCAAATGCATGTCCCCTGTTACCTGGGGCAAGGCTGGGATAAAGGCTGGTGGTCTAGAAGAGGTAGTATGAAACCTCTTGTCACGGATGGCAGCTTCTGAAGGAGGGGACAAGAATGAAGACCATCGGCAAGGACGAGCAGAAGACATGAAGCAAGGGAGAGCAGGGGTAGACTTAGTTTTAGGAAGCACTGACCCTGAGGGCAAAATTAGTTTCTACTCATGGAATAATGAAGGCTACATGAGATACCAGATGAAAAGGTCTAGCACCGTGCCTGGCTTGTGGTTAGCAAACGGGGGCTCTAGGGAGGGGCAGAGACTGCCAGCCCCAGGCTGGCCTGGGAGGGGACTTGGTTGGACAATTCCTAGAAGAGCTAACTCTTCCTGTATTTGGGTAGCTTCATCGGCCACTCTTGCCGTGTGCAAACTGGGAGTAGGGCCAACTGCCAGGACACCCTGCCCTGGTCCTCAGTGCTGGCAGGGTGTGGAGGCAGCAAGTCTGCTCTGCTCCCCTCTCCTTGTCCCAGTATAGGACAGCTTGGGAGGAAACAAGCCCACGCTGCAGCAGGGGGAATGGAGATCGGATAGAGAAACACTTTCCAGTGTACGAGGGTGGGTCAGCCGTATGGGTGTAAAAGCTAGTGTACCAGCTAGGACAGGGGACTGATCAGCATGGCACCCTCTTCCTGAAGCCAACTCTTGTGTGTGACCGAGGGCTCCAAATTTGTGGAACACAGGAAGCAACAAGGAGTCCTTTTTGTTCCCTAAATAACAAGCTTAGACTGGTGTCTCCACCGTTGCTGTTTGACTTTGGCAACTTTGTTGCCCTCTCTGGTCCTCAGTGCCCTTGATATGAGTAAAGAAGTTGGAAATAGGGGGTTTAAACTCTCCGTCAGTTGTTTAAGGTTTTCCCCACCTCCTGAGATAAGAAATGGCGTTGTCACATGAAGGGTAGGAGGAATACTTCCCAGCTTCAGCTGAGCCAGAAGAAATGGCTCAAGGCCAAGACATTTGAGCGCACACAGATGCACATACTGGGGGCTTACAGACAGCGACTTCTCACTCTCTGAGACATACCTTGCCTGCATCGCCCCTGCTGGCCCTGAAAACTCCATTCTATTGGGGAACCATAATCCAGCCCTGGTTTTCCTTCTTGCTGCGGGTCCAGCAGGTGGCTGGCCTTCAGCTAAGGCTGACAGGTTTTCTGAGACCGCCCTCAGCAGGCTCGGCTATTTGCAAAGCCTGGTATGGAATGCCCCAAGCCAGAAGAGAAGTTGTGTTGGGTCTCATAGCTGGGGCTGCTAGAACTCAACAAGTTTTAGACTCGGTGGCAGTGAGGCCCCAGCCAGACGTGTTTGTACACAGCCCAGGAGAGGGTGACATATCCTTCTCCTATGTTCCCCTGGTTCAGTCTCCTGATAATTGCTGAGGGTTGGGGGTCCCTGCAACTTCACTGAGGAGAATTAAGCTCCCAGCTCCCCAAGGTGTCCAGGGCTCATAACAGCCCTTGGCAGACATAGACCCTCACTACCAACCCCATTCCTGGTTCTCAGGAGCCTAGGACTCCTGGTGTGTTGGACAGGGAGGGGCCTTTGAGAGGCTCCCCTGCTGCTAGATCGTCAGGAGGGCCAGGAAAGGGGCTCCTAGAGGGTTAAAGTCCCTGCAGTGAAAGCTTAGGGAACCCTAACCCTACCCTGAGCCTGATGTCCTTTCTGTCATCCACCTGACAGTCGAGGGTCAGTCACCTGCTTCCTGTCTCTAGGGTGAGGCAGGAAGACTGTGAAAAACATAACTCCTGGAGCATGTGATGGACAATGGTTAGACTTCAGGGAGGACTTCCCAAACACTGATGCAAGGGGAAGCAGCTCTGGGGACATTCACTGGGGACATAGCTTCCCTTCCCTGTACCTTGAAGTCTTCATGGTGGCTGTCTGGGAGACTCCGGATTCAGTGAGAGAATCCAGGCAGCGGCGGCAAAGGTGCTTCGAGAAACCTCCTGAGACCCAGCGCTTCCCTGACCCAGAGGGCGGGGCCCTGGGAGGTGGTGAGAGGGGGTGCAAGCAGGATTGTACTTCCCGCACCTGGGAAGGTGGGTCAGAGTTCAAGGTTCACTCACACCATCTGAAAAAACAAAAAGAATGGGGAGGTGGTATATCGAGTCTGTCTTTCTAACCCTAGCCAGTCTGCCCCTCACCACCCACCATCCCGGGCACCCTGGGGTGTTGGATTGCTGGTGCATTCTTGCTTTCTTTCTCAGTAGTCTGCCCACATCTGGGTACCGCAGCTGTTTCTCCCCGGGGTGTCCGTGCGTCGGTAATCGGTGGGAAAATTGGAACGGGGAGATTGGCAGGGGGCTCAGAGAGTGCGTGTTGTGAGTGTGGATGTGCCCGGGCTAGCCAAGTGAGGGCTGTGCCCAGATGCCCTGTCTCCAGGCAGGAAGGGGCTCTGTACCTCAGGTCCCATGGCAAAAAAGAGGTGGTTTCTGTCAGCACGGGGCCGGATAGATTTGGGAAGAACTTCCACTTAGGGCAAGAAAGGTATGAGGGAAGCTGTGGGGACCCTGCTATGAGTAGGAGCCAGCAAAAGGGCCTCTGGCAGGTATACAAGTATAGGAACATCGCTCCTCACCACCGGACGGCCAGTCAGATGTGAGCACCTGTAGCGTAATCTCTGTAGGAGGCCACAGGACATTCACCACGGCTGGGGATGGGGCTGAGGATGACAGATTGAGGGGAGGCTCTCTGGAGCTGGGGGAAGGGTGGTGAACAGTGAGGCTGACCCTCTGACCTTGACCCCAAATAAGAGACCCAGACAGGGGGAGCTGTTCAGGGCCCATGGGTGCTGCATTTGGGCTCTTAAATGGTCACCCAAGCCAAGTGTCTGCTTCCTGTTCCCAGAAAGAGGGCCAGGGCCTTCTTTCTGACTAGGGATCCCAACTCTGGGGACCCCCTGTTTTCCTTGTTGTTGCTGTCTGTCCTCCTGTCTGTCCCCAAGTGATGTCTTTGTCCTTTTATTCCCTGACCTTCCTCCAGTCCCTGGTCTCTTCCCCAGGGGACCCCTCCCACCCCGGTGACCTGGGAAGGGACAGCTCCTAAAGCCCTGCCTTGCTGCTCCCCGCCCCCTGGCCCAGCCCTCCTGCTCCTAGCTCATTCAGCTCATTCATTGGTTTCCTCCTTTCCTGTCCCTTACCCAGGGCTCCAGCGAGCGGCGGGAGGGAAGCCTGCAGGACTCTGTTCCCTCTGTTTAAAGTCTCCAGGTTAGTAAGCCAGGAGGGAGCCCGTCATGGCCGACTAGTTAGCACTGTCCCCTGCCTGCCAAGGGTCACAATGGGCCACCGGGAGGGCCGTCCCCAGGGGGCCAGGAGAATGTCAGGGGGAGGGGACGGCAGAGTCTCATGTGGGGAGGGCGTCTTGCCTGGCAAATATGTGTCTGTGTGCACGTGTGCATGTGAGTGTGCCTGTGCGAGCACCCAGGCATGTACGTAGGCGTGTGTCTGTGTGGGCTGGGCATGGGCTAGTGGTAGGCCACCTCTGCCAAGAGGTGAGGCCCCAGGGTCTCTGCTGCGGGAGGTGGTGTGGGAGCTGGGTCAGGTGACCTCAGGGCTTGGTTCTTAGTTGCCTTATTCCTCAGTATCCGCTTCACTCTGGAGAGTCCCTGAGCCGGCACAGGAGGGAGACCCAGCAAGGCCACACCTTGCCACCCTGCCTGGCCAGTGCTGCCTCAGGGAGCAGGGTTGAAGGGTGGGGTGCACAGCATCCCTGGGCAGGCGCCTTGTAATGTCTAGCCCTCAGCGGTGGCATCAGTCCACTCTAACGACATGGTATCTTATCCGATGACATCTTATTGGCTTGGCCTGCTAATGCTGGAAACCCCTTTGTACCATACTGTCCATCCCTGTAGAGTGTCCTGAGACCCATGCTGTCACCCCACCAAGCAAACTGTGACTCACACTCCAATTCCCTGGAGGCTGGGAGCAGTATTATTAGGCCACCGCTAAGGCCTTTTGGAATCGGACTAGGACAACCCTTCACCCTCCTTCTGGGCTGAGGACTAGCAGCCCAGGGCACTGAGAGTCAGGGTGGCCTGTGTTCAAATCCGCATTGAAGCCATGGCAGCTATGAAGCCTAGGATGAACCCCTTTCCCTCTCAGAGCCTCATTGCTCTGCCTATGGGTCAGGGTGACAATCCACAGGGGACAGGCTGTGAAGAAGGGAGTGCTGTGCAGTAGGGGTCCGGCCTGAGTAGGGTGCTCTGAAGGTAGTTTCTCTTCCTGCCTCCTGCCTAAGGCTGGGCTGGCTATGTCTAGGTGGGCTGTGTGGTACTGCCCACCTACTCCAGGGGTGAGGGGCTGCAGAGCCCATCCCGGCAGTGACTCTGTGTCCCCTGCCCTCCCTTGATCCCCAATCCAGGCGGGCATGGAGGGAGAGGCAGCCCTCCTCACTGCTGTGGCTGCCGCTGCCTTGATGGCTTTTTAATAACTTTGCTCTGAGACAATCTGTGGAGCGCTCGCTCGTTTGTCTGCCTCTTAATTAAAATTACCGTTTTCCTAAAAGAGCAGCCATGCTCCTGCCCTCCCCAGCCTCTGTGCTCCTACCCGAGAAGGTGGGGAGGAGCCAGCACTCCCTCCCAAGCAGGCGCGGTCCTCCCTAGGCCCCCGACAGATCTTAGGGGGTCTGTGGGAGGAGGCCTGCTCTAGCAGAGGGCTGATACCTTCTTTGGCCTAGCTGCTTCTGGAATTCCTCCAGTGACGGGGTGCTCACTACCTCCTGAGACTTCCTGCCATTCGTAGAAAGGTGTGGCAGCCCCGTCTTGCCTTGTTCTGAGTGGAAGATGTGGATGGGTTTTAGAATGGATGTGGGCAGGGTTAGATTGCTGTGGGGGTGGGATCCAGGGCATCCCTAGGCTCAGTCCCTATGTCACTGCCGTTCCCCGGTCTCTGAGAACAAGCAGTTGAACGTGGGGTGCAGTTACAGCGTGGCTGGTGTGATGATACCCTTAGTTTCCGGTGATGGTGTTTTTGGGGACACTGTGAGAGGTGTGAAGGCTTAGGTCTTTGTAATGATAGTTCCATAGTTCACTTCCTCCTCTGCTGTCCCCAGGGTGGTGCTGAAGATGCTGTCTTTTGTGGGGGACAAGGCAGATACGACAGGAAATCATGTAACATGTCCAGCGTCAGACAGATTACCCTAGACTCCAACCCTGCCTCCTCTCACTGTCCTGCCTTCCTCCCAAAGTCTGTCTTGCGTCTAGCCTCAATCCCTCATGTTGTCTGGGCAGTAGGAGAGCTGCCTGTTCACTTTCTGCAAGAGGCATTCCTCGTTAGTCCTGGGTCCTGAGAACCAACGGTGAGGTTTGTCTCGCTTCGGCCTCATTCCTCTGCCGCATCTTCACTGTGTCCCGATGGAGGTGTACCCAGCTCCAGCAGGCCTGGCTTTCTGTTCTCTGCACCGGGTCTGGGTCTTCTGTGGCTCCTCTTCTGGCTGTAGCTGGTGTATATATATATGGTCATGGAGTCCGTCAAGTCAGCACACACCTGTTGTGTGCCCGGCAGTGTGGAGGTGCCAGGACATATGAGACGGTTCGGCAGGATATGTGAGGGCTCCTTCTGTGACCCCCCTCCCTTCTCTCCCCTTTCCCCCTGTCACCTGTGGGGAGGTGAGGGCCCTTCTCCAGAGCCCCCCTCCCCCTCTGCTTCTGTTCTCTCCCAGCAGCCCGTGATGGCAGAGTGGTGACAGGTGCCGAGCCGCAGAGATGACAGTGCTGCTCATTCCCCCATAATTACCGTCTGATGAGACGCCAGAATTAGCCACCGCGTGAGCATGGGCATCAGATGCGGGCACAGTGCGGGAAGAGACTGGGGGCAGGGAGCCGAGCCGCTCTCCTTCTCAGCCCTGGTGCCCCGGGCAGCAGGACAGGCACAGCACCCAGAGAGGGAAGCAGGCCAGAAGGAGGAGGCACTATGTGGTTTATGTGCATCAGATGTCCAGTGGTTTGTGGTTTCCCGGTCCTCAAGGTGGCTGGGAATGTCCTGGAGATGGCTGGCATCTGGACAGGGTTGCTGGGGCCCCAGACCGCTAACCAGAGACCCACAGGTAGATTCTGAGTACATGTATGCTGTGTGCACCCTGACTCTACCATGCTGGGCTATGAGGAGCAGTGGAGTTCAGAGAAGGAGGGCCTAATACTTGACAGCCAGGCCAGGCCCTGAGGCAGATGGATGACTGGGAGGAGCGTGCAAGGAGAGAGGAACATCTGAAGCTCAAGATGAGGCAGTATGATATTCCAGAGGGGGCGGCAGGGAGGTGATGCATTGGGCATCAAACTGGGATGCTCCTGTCCTGGGCAGCTTCAGTGGGCAAGTGTTTTTGTAGTGGGGGCAGAAGGTCATCTGGTACATTCCTAAGACCTTGTCCAGACCACTGGAGCAGTCTGAAGGAACTGCTAGGAAGGCTAGTGACACCAGGGGGATTGCTGTATCATGGCCAGTCAGTGCAGTTGGGACCTGGAAGCCAGACCATCCAGGGAGGACCTGTCCCAACAAGGAAGGCACTGGTGTAGCAGCCTCCCTCACTCCCAATGTAATTACTCCTTGCTGTAATGAGGCCTCTGTTCCTGGAGGCATCTAAGCCCCGGCTGCAGGCTGATGAGCAGGGTGGGAGGGCTGTCTCTGTCCCAGCCTGGGGTCTGATGGGGGGTTATGAACCTATCAGATCGAAAAGGGGGGGCTAGCAACTCTTCCAGGAGCCTGCTCCTCAGCGGTCTGCCCGCTTCTCACCCTTCCATGTCCAGCCCTTGCTCCAGCCCTGGAGATCAGGCTTCCAGTCAGGACCGGACCGTAGACAGGAAGGTTAGGAAGTGAACAGATGGGGACTTGGGGCTCAGTAGTAGAGGGTTCTGGGAAAGGAGGGCAGGAACCCTGCCTCTAAGAGCAGGTGCCGCCACTCATCCATGCCCATCTTGGGCAAAGTCACCCTTCCTGGGCTTCAACTTCCTGACCTGTAAACAGCAGAGAGCAGCCTCTCAAGGCTTCTTTGAGCGTTATGAGTCATAGCTGCAAGTGCCCTTTGAAGTGTCATGCCCAGGGCTATGTAGGGACAGGCCTTGCTCTACACTGCACTCTTGCTTTCCAGGCAGCACACTGGCTGGTTTCAGCTTCTCTTTTTTCCCTCTTTCTCTCCCCCTCTCTCTCCCTTTCCTCCACTCCCTTTCCTCCACTCCCTCTCTCCCTCCCTTTCTTGTACCCAGGATGGAGCCCAAGGCTTTGTACTCTACCAGCTGTATCTCCCGCTTTGTTGTTTGAGACAGCATTTAAAGCTGCTCAGGCTGGCCTTGAACTCTCTCTCTAGCCTCCGCAGGCCTTGACCTGTGATTCTCTGTCTGCCTCCTGAGTAGCTGGGATTGCAGGCCTTCAACATCAGGCGCAGTACTTTTTCCCTTAGTAGTACTGGGGATAGGACCCAGTGCCCTCCATGTACTAGGAATGCCTTATGCCCCAGCCCAGGGCTTCACCCTCTCTATTCAAGGGGCCTGAGAAGATGTAAACAGAGGGAAGACCCCAGTCTTTAGCAGATGCCAGGGCACAATGAGACTAACCCCCTCCTGCCAGCCTGCACTGGTGGGGGATTCAGGGTGGATAGCAGAGAGAATTTCCCCTGGCATCATGTAACCAGCCTACTTTCCTGAGCCCTCTGCCACCCTGGCTCCTGTGGCCCCTTCCTCCAGACCTCTCAGAACACTAGCCTTGTGTACTAGGGAGAGAAACGGGGTGCAGGGGGACTAGAAACCTCTGGAGGGGAGGCCTAGGGACCCTATGTCAGCTGTTCAGCATCCGATAGGAACTGGGTGACCACACTGCTCACCTGTACCCTGGAGGAGAGGCCAAGTCTCTGTAGTAGCAGAAGTAGGACCCCAGGACTTCAGCATTGGCCCTGGCTCACAGGTTATCATCATAGTCAGCAGCCTTGGGCTTGATTTGTGGTTGTCTCTTTGAGGCCAGACACTTAGGGAAGTGAAGGGGGGAGGTGCTAGTTGGTGTCTCCATGACAGCCCCCACTACCTTTGGTTTGATTTGTTTTTTTGAGATAGGGTGTCATGTACTCCAGGCTGGCCTTGAACTCTTTTTTTAAAAAAGATTTATTTATTTATTACATATACACCAGATTGAGTTGTAGATGGTTGTGAGCCACCATGTGGTTGCTGGGAATTGAACTCAAGACCTCTGGAAGAGCAGCCAGTGCTCTTAACCTCTGAGCCATC